TTTATACATAATCTTTTAATGTATTTTTTCAATAACAATTCATTTTACAACGTAAAAGGCTGATTGTTAGGAGCATTTGAATTTAAAGCTATTTGGACAAACATTCTATTCAGATTTTTTTTTTATTACAACACCAAATGAAAACGCTACGGGCGGACAAGACCCTTGCTCGGTGCAAAAAGAAGCCAATTCAGTACAACCCCTGTTTGGTCAAGGGCGGACACCCGAAGCTTCTTCGTCAGTCAGTCAGCTGTGTGGATGCTGGGGCAGCGCCGTAAATTCATTACGCGCCTCTACATTGGCAAATAAACAAATAAAGCGGTGCTGGTTTATATTGCGCCGAGGTTCTTTTTGCAGCCGTGTGTGCTTTGGTGCGGGAAGCCTGCGTGAAGTGATGATCGCGCGCGCCCTCTCGTCATCCCAGCCCCCGCGCTTCGCAAGATTAAATCTGCCAGCCAAACGTTTATTGGTTTCACGCACAAGAGCGACTCTTTCCGAACAGGCCCTCTTCGTCCGCCCACCAAAGCCGACCAAACATTCCGACACAATCGAGAGCTGATGATGATGAGCACAGCCGGCCGCAATTTCACCCCACCGCGGTATTTGATCAATGTTCAAAGTTTGCCGCCATCAATTGTCAACTCTCTTGCGTTGGAAATATGATTTATTTTTTACATCAATATTAATTTATTTATGAAATTATAAATGAAAGGTAATTGATAAAATTAAATTATTAGATTTAATATAATATTTTTTTATTATAAAATATTTAGTTTAAATTTAAAATCAATCAACAAAGTAATATTGTAAATTATATTAATTAAATGAAACGTTGTTGTTTTTAATTTTTTTTAATCGATATAATGAACGTATTTTAGTGATGTAAGCTATCAACGTTGCAATACATGTTAGACCATTAGGCCCTTTCAATCAATAAACAATCAAATGAGAAATTATGTAACAACAAAAAAAAGAATTAAAAATTATGTAAAACTGCAGGAAAATTATTTTGTATTGCTGAGAAGTAATTCTGATTAAGAGAGCTTAAAAAAATGAGATGAAGCAAAAAATTAAATTAAATCAAGCGTGACACACATTTTTTTTAACGAGCGCTTTTAAATTAAAAAGAATTACATTAATTTGGTGACCACGAATTTTCCAAAAACTCCAATGATTCAGAAAAAAAATGCATTGAAGTGAGTCTTATGTATTGTAATTGAAAAAATAATTTCCATTAATTAATTTACCCACGTATCCAGAGTTAGTGAACAATTTTGTAAAAAAGAAGCGCATAATAGTAACTGTGTGGCGCGTCGCACTCCCTAGGCGCCAATTTCGCCCCGTCCCTCCATGCTTTTGCCGCCCCCGCCGGCTATTTTGCCAATTCCTTCCTGCAACATCCATCCAATAAAGCGCTGCACCGCCGGCGGCCACTAAAGAGCGATAATTGCGAGTTAGTCTTTGAAATAGAGCCTTTTCTCGTCTCCCTCGGCGGCGCTCTTTCTTAATAAAGCGGGCCGTGTGCTTTTGTTGCAGTCGCGTTTAATATCAAGCGCGTTCCGATAAAAATCGTCAAATTGAATGAGCTGCACGGCAAGAAATGGGCAAACAAACGAGAGCAAAGCCGCAGCAATATAAACTGCCCATCGGAGGAAAGCGGACGGACGGAGTGGCCGCACCAGATTCAATTTCCAATTTCCTTTGTCGCCGCTCCTCCACCCGGCCAGCTCCACGTAAATAAATAGATTGAGGAAATATCCTTATTTGCGGCGCAAGAAACTAACAACTCGCTGCCCGGCCTCTCCCGTTTGTTCGGCGCACACAATCTGCGTCCAACGCTCGGCCGTTGTTTGCCTCAGAGTTTTGCAAACTTCAAAGGACAAAGATAGCAGACAGTTTTATTTGAGACGCACAGAGGAACCCGTTTGGGGAATGTTTAAATTAGTCCAAATTTTGAAATTAACTTAAATATAGTTTTAGCGGCATTTTAATCAACTCAGTGTTTTTAAAAGTTTCTAAAATACATAAATTTACAACACCCTTAGTTTTTCCTCTCCCGTATATAATTATTGAAGATTTACTTAGATTTTCTTCAGGGATTTCAGGGCTAAGTGGGGAATCATAATTTTATGATTAATGATTTATAATCTTAAAATTTTTTAAAATTCATGAGCACATATAAGAGTTTATATCAAAATCAGAGAAAAATAAATATTATTAATTAACTGTTTTTATTTTGTAATTACGGTATTTCATTTTAACTTTTGAGGGCACTATCAACGATTCCCTGATTTACTCAAAATTCAACAAATAAATAAACCCCACGTTAGTCTGGGATTTTTGATCAGGCTGTTGCTCACTCTAGAGGGCCTCACGCCAAAGTTGCAAACTACACAAAAAAGTCCGAGTTTGGGAATATCAGAGGCGAGTTTCAATTTTCTCCGCAAATATAGAGTGCGCAAGAGAGCTGAGAGGCCGCGCGCACCGAAAAAGTAATAAAACGGATTATCTGGCGGCGAGAGCGAGCGAATGATCCGATGATATTGCTGCTGCTGAGCGTCGAGAGAGCGAGTGAGTTAAAGCAAATCGTTATTTGATTCGCTTTTTATTTGCTACCACATCCGCGCGCCGCTTTTCAGCAGCTTTTCACCGCTACACGCTCTTCTCTCCGCAGCCAAGAGTCTATAAGGAACATCAGCACTTCTTATTGAATTCCGCAGCAGAAGTAGCGAGGGTGGCTGCGAGGGGCTGCTCGGCTAAATCGCACCACCCGCTCGCTCGCTCGCCCGCCAGCAAAAGCAGGCAAGATCGCCTCTCTTTCTCTTATCGTGTTTCTAACTCCTTTAATCAAGACGGAATGAATATGGCTGCTGCTGTTGAAAACTCAGCCGGCTCTCGACTCGCAGCGAGGGGCAGAGGGTGTATTTTTTCATCACGATGACTACCACCGTTTATTAACTTCTGCGTCTTTTATTCCTGTAGAAATAAATTAGACTCGTCGAAAGTAGAGTGTAAATAAAACAAGTGCCTGCTGCTCATCATCTCTCATCTCTCTCTCTCTCCTCGTCATAATATACCAATTTCTGAATAAAATACTCTTCCAATCTCTACAGCATCTGTGCCTACTCAGACAAATTTTATTTTAAACGAACGTTGAATTCTTTTGCAAAAGTGATGGCGCGTAAATTTTTACAGAAATTTTGATTTTCTGAGTCAGTCAGTTCCTTAAAAGCCATTTATTATTATTGCAAGATGTGGCAAGAAGTACACAAGATTTTAAGTTCTAAGCAATAAATCAAACAAAAAATTTTAGATACTAATTAAAGTTGTGCTACCTTTTCCTACACTAATTTGATTTCCAAAAGTGCAGAGTTCCATATCATCAAATAAAGTATATTTTTGAAATAAGTTGTTCTAATGTAATTTATATCATGTTTGTTGAAAATAGAAAAAAAACATATTTACTAATTCAATGTTTTTTTATTTGATTTATATGTTATATTATTATATTTTTATAATACTTAAATTGTAATTTCTTGTAGTACTTTAGTTATTTATAATAATTACTTCTTATTTTTTTTTCATTTTGAGAAAATTCAATGAAAATCCCAAAGAAGCACAAGTTGCTTTATAAATGCAACAATTTAGAAATCATAATTTGCTGAGTTTTCGAGAGACGTTCAAACAAAATGAAAACCAATCAGTGCGGATCAATTCAATGATCACGTGCATTGGTCAAATAAAAGTCGATCCAGACGACACGCTGCGACGATAAACAAGAGAGAGAAAATCACTCCTGCTCTCTCTCCACTGTTAAGTAGTTGATGAGCGCCTCTCTTTTGGAATATATAGCGAGAAGAGCACAGCACGCGTATAGTACTTATTAGTTGGGTGGATCGAGAAGACGAGCTAAAGCTCTGCTCTGCATGCACAACTGACTTCATAATACTCTTGAGAGCCACTCAATCGGACAAAAGAGAGTTTTATTTTACCATATTACGAATGATGCTGGGGAAGAGGGAAGAGAGGAAATTTGATGTTCCCATCATCGTCTGCCTCTTTCTCTCTCTCTCTCACTTGATTTTATTTTAATGCCTCAGTCGCAGTTCGCTCTCTCTCTCATTTTATCTTTTTAGCACTCTCCAACCGGCCCATATTACGGAGGCGCTCCACGCGGATAATTTTCCAAGCTAGATTCATTTTCATTTAACACTTGAGAGAGGAACAGAGATGATGAGAGTTGGAAAAACGAGTGCTGGCCCTGCTGCTGGAGATTTGAATATGCGAGTGAGAGAGAGAGAGAGGAGCGATGATGAGCTGTTGATGCGGCGAATTCCGTTTTAATATCTCGTTCCCCGTGCCGCTTTATGAGACGCGATGAAAGCCGACGAGAGCTGAAAGGACCGACTGACTGACGCAACCACCACTATTGACACAGCCGGAAATGTAATAGCCGCCGCCGCGTTTTCGGTGCTTTTGCTCACATTCTATTGCTACGGTGCCACTCGAGCCGCGCGAGAGAGTTAATGAGAAAAAAAGGAAAGCCAGCCGCCGAGTGCAGCGTTGTAATGACAAATAATGGGTTCCCCGCTCACGTGGTTTCTTCCAACTTGATTGAAATTTTTTATTCATTGAAGGTTTTTCTATAAGGAATACTCTTTCAAATTTAGCAGTTAACAAATTTAACAAAATACTTGTTTGGTTATTTTTTTGAGAGTATTTAACAGTAGAAAAATAAAAATGTCTCTTCAAATTGATACAACAAAAAAAGGCAATTATTTTTGCCGGACAATTTATTGAAGAAAAATATTTGCTAACTAAGTTGCACCTAACACCTAATATTGCATAGGATATTTAAATTTAAAATGACAGAGAATTTCTCTATGGAAAAAATTGTTGAAAAAAATGGAGTTGCTTTCTTCATTTCATCGTTTCAATGATAACTGTGCATTTATTGAGTTTGTATTTTTTTAAAGATTAAGTACATATTTGTTTTTGATTTTAAATTTTTATTGATTATTACTTATTACACTAAATATAAACTACAGTTCTTATAACAAAATTAATTAAACTTGCAACAACTTGGATATACAAAAATTAATTTTACCAATCCATATTATTATATTCAGAGCTTATTAAAAACTATCTCTATCTTTCACCGCATCTTTTATTCATTTTATATGATTTTATATTCGAGCCATGGCCGTGGCAATAATGTATAAAAGACGCCCCATTATTAAGTGAATCGAGATGTTTGTTCAGCTCATAATTCGCGGTTGAACGGACATTCTAGCCATAGCTGTCGGAGCAGGTTAGACGGGACGAGGGCTTATCTAGAGCTCCTCTCAAAGTGCACGCATTGGAAACAAGAAAGAAACCCTAGCCATAAAGATGTTTCCTTTTATTCTTCCTTTTTACACATATACACGCGTAGTTATTTTAATTTATTCTGCCCGGCCGGCTTTCAACAAAAGTCCTCTTTCGAATATACAGTTGCTTTTTATATTGGTCTATAAATGGTAACTCTTATCAAGAGTTATACAATTGTTCCAACAATGGGAAAATAAAAATATATGCCTCCAATAAAGAGTGCACTTTAACGGTAGATTTTGCATTAAATTTAATAATAATAAGAGGGAAATGCTTTTCCTCTTTACAATTCAATGTAGTTTTCTTTGTCGATAATTTTGAATTTGGCCTCACGGAAGGTGCACAAGTCGCTGAAGATGCGCTTGGTGCTCTCAAGACTGAGTTTCGACACGACCACGTCAATGCTCTCGATGTGGGCGATTTGGGCCAACTCATCATAATACTGTTGTTGGAGAGAGCCTAGTTTGTGAGCTTGACGTGGTCCCAATCCTAAAAATTCAAGTTTTTTAACATTATTTGACAAGCATGAATATGTTTTCGTAAAAGTAAAATTAAAATAAATAATTATCCAAGAACTTATTTTAAGTACTGCTTGTAAATATTGTGGTCTCGAATGGAATAGATATTTATTGTTTATTTGTATTGAACATTATTTATTTAGTTTTAGATGAGTATGAAAAATAAAATAACCAACCTTTGTTCCTCCGCCATTCCTGATCGGCTCTCAGCTCCTCGTACATTTCCTCTTTGCTGGGCAAATCACACTTGCCACTCATCAGGCTAAAGGAAAATCGCGCCTAAACCAAAATTAGTCATTATTTTACTGTTTTTTTCTTCAAACGTTTTAGGCACCTGTAGGTCGAGGAGTTGGAAAGGACAAACAAAGGTCACTAACCCGGTCAGGCACATAGTCGGGTACTCGATGTTGATCATGTGCTTATAAAGTGGCTCTACTCCGTAGCCGTCGGTTGTGATTTTGCAGTCCTTGTGCAAAAACGGAAAACTGTTACGATACCCTAAAATAAATCATTTTCACCCATATCAAGCAAAAAACCAGATATTAAAAACCTGTGCAAAAAATTACGGAGTCAAACTCTTGAAGGGATCCATTCACAAACTTAATAATTTTCTCATACATAAAGCACTCAATATCAGGTGCCTGGTTGACATTTCCGTGAAAATTGATTTCAGGGGTCTTCATGTGGTGGCTTAGTGTCACCTCAAATTTATTATCTTCATTTTATTCAAATAAAAATCAATTATATTTTTACGGTTTTGGCTTCTTTAGACACTTCGAGGGCAATATCCAGTCCGGAAGGGCCGGCTCCGACCACCAAAACCCTTTGCCCTTTGAAAGGGGTGGACTCGCGATAGTCGTGGCTGTGCATGACGTGCCCACCAAACTTCTCAATTCCTTCCACCTCAGGAATCTCAGGGTCGCTATGGTGCCTTTATAATTCAATTTCCCATTATGCTTTTGTTTTTAGTCAATAATCAACGAAATTACCCATTGCAGACCATGATTCCGTCAAATAAGTTTGTTTCCTTCTTGCTGGTGACAATATCCAAGGTCGTCACTTTCCACTCAGGGTATGTCTTGTCCTCCTCTGCACTTTTAACCGGCAATACTTCCAGTACAACGCGGTTGAACTTGTGGTTCAAAACAAAACGACTCTATTTATTCATAAAGGTAGTTAAAAAATATGCTACCTTAATCAGACGCCGCAGGTCAAATTGTGACGCATAGTCCTCAAGGTATTTTAGAACTTTGCCACTTTTGACGTACGACTCAGGGTACTCCGGAAAGGGATAGTCAGGGTAGCACATTATCTCCTTGGGTAAATTTGTCCTGCAGAGGACGAATTAAAAATGAAAGAAATTTTATGAAAGGCTATAAAAAATTATGATTAAAAGATGTTTTGAAAAACATTTAAATATAAAATTAAAAAAACTTGATTACATAAAAAGTAATTTTTTTTTGCACACGCATAATTTAAAAATTTCAGCACCTTAGATTTTTGTACATGCTGGAGTGGACTTGTCTGCCCCGATAGTCGGTGCCAACGTGTTCTGAAAGTCTCCATGTGCCGCCCAGGTCATCGCCCTGCTCAAAAACGGTGCACTCGAAGGGCGATCCTGCGGCCGTAAAGTGTCTGGCCGCGGCTAGTCCGGCTGGTCCTGCACCAATTACGGCCACTCGCTTGCCGATGCACGTCTTCATCGCGACTAAACCAGAATGCACTGACCCACTACGGTTTTATTACCAAACCCAAAGAGCCAGAAGTGTCTACAAATTTCGGTGCATATTAATGCAACTGACGCCGCCCACGGAAAAGAAAGCAGGAGTGTATTTTTGAGAAATCGGACTCGTATGCCCTTGGGACTGTTATCTAATTTATTTATCCAAAGTTCAACGTTCTCCACATAAAGTATGTTTGTGAGTAAGACACACGGAGTCATTCACTGCACTGCGAGCTCAACACGCAGAAGTCGTCCTGCGCCTTTAGAATGTAGTTGGCGATGTCCGGATGAACGCCTTCCATTCCGGCCGTGTTGGCCAAATCATCATAGTGCTTTTTTTGTAGACATCCCATTTTGTGAGCGTGTCTCGGTCCGAGGCCTTAAATTTGTTTTATGAATTCATGTTATAAAATTTATAAAAAAATTCCAACCTAGTTTCTCTTTACGCATTTTCTGGTCCTTTTTCAATTCTTCGTACATTTCTGATTTGCTTGGAAGGGCGCTCTCCCCCAACAGCAGTTTTTTGAAGAAACGGACCTGGAAAATAATTTTGCACTTATAAATTTATTTTGTTTTATTTAATTTTCAACTTCTAAATCGGCAAGTTGAAGGGGTGACACGTGGTTTGCCAAGACCAGGAGGCACATTGTTGGGTGCTCTATGTTGATGAAGTGCTTGTAAAGAGGCTCCACTCCATATCCGCAAGTTGTAATTTTGCATCCAGGGTGTAGAAACGGAAAAGCGTAATTAAAACCTTCAATATAAAAGTTGTTAAATAACAAATTACACAAATTAATTCATTTGCAGCCAACCTGTACACATAATGACGGTATCAAACTTGCGACTCTGACCGTCTGTAAAATGCACTTTGTCTTGATCAAATTTCAAAACGTCCGACACTTCTGTCACATTTTCAGGTATTTTCACTTTCAATTCCTTCAAGTGGTGACTAATTGTGACCTGTTAATATATATTTTATTTAAAAGTAAGTGAAAAATATTTTAATTTATTATAATACATGAGTGGCGTGTTTTGCAACTTGCAGCAAAATATCTAGAGCGGAAAAGGAGCCGCCGATGATGAGCAAATCCTCATTTTTATAATTGGCAGCGTCTCTGTAATCGTGGCTGTGCAAAATTTTGCCTTCGTACATCTCCAATCCGTCAAATTGCGGCCAGTAAGGCTCACTGTTGTGCCTTTGAAGCTCATTAAAATTAATACATAAATTAATGAATATTTTCATTACCCATTTGCTACGACAACCGCGTCATAATGTTGTACAAATTCCACTTCTCCTTTTAGATCTCGGATTCTCAATTCCCAAATAGTAAGTGACTCGCTGGGATTTAATGGTTTTATTTCACAAACAAGATGGTCAAACTGTAACAATAATTTTAAAAATAACATAGATTAAATATTTTAATCTGCTAATACCCTCATCATTTTTCGCAATCCATAATGATCCGCAAATTTATGCAAATATTCCAGTACCTCTTCACAACTTAAAAAAGTTCCCAGCTTATCATCAAAAGGGAATCTAGGGAAGCTCATTATTTCCTTTGGCAAATTCGTTCTGAAATAATTTTAATTTATTTAAAATAAATATTTTTGATGTTATAATTATATAAAGCAATTAATATTTTTTAATCCAAAATAAATAAATTTATTTAAACCTGAGATTCTTGTACATGCTTGAGTGGACGGGCCGTCCATCTGGTTCATTTCCGACGTGTTCTGATAACACCCAAGTACCACCAAGGTCGCTTCCCTGTTCGTAAACATGACACTCAAAGGACGAGTCCGCAGAAAAGTGTCTGGCCGCGGCCAAACCCGAGGGACCGGCACCAACGACGGCGACTCTCTTGGCAGACATCTCTGCCACTGCCGAGACGCTTTTGGCGAGTGATGCATTAATTGCTTTGATTAATTTTATTACAGGCCAAGGACAAACCAGTTCAACTCTTCTCATTATCTCCCTGAATGCTGACTGGTGACGTAAGAGCAAAGATAGCAGGAGCACCGATTCTCATAGCCCACAGATAAAAAATGATGAAATTAAAATATATATTGGTTTTCTGTAAACATTAAAATGAAACTTTTTTCTTTAGGAAGAATGTGTATGGTGTGTTTTGAAACCGTTGGCAGTAAATAAGTCTATCAAAGAATTCAAAGTTAATTTTTTTGTTAGAAAAAAATAGTGGATTTTTAAAAACAATTAAACTTTTGAAATTTTTTAACCTGACGAGTGACGCAGCTGGTTTTTATTCTTTTAATATATTGTCACCTATTTATAATAAGCACAGAGACATTAAATAAAATAACTTTTTTAACACATACAATATATTTAGTTTTTATTGTTTTGTGCTTATATTATACATGAACAATAATTATTTTAATTTTCAAGATTTTTGATTTCTTTTCACAACTCTACAAAACTTTCGTCATCAATCAATTTGTATCGTTTGTCTCGGAAGGTGTAGAAGTCTCTGGATAGTGCTTTACATGAATAAGCCTCAAGCTTTGTGATCACGGATGGAATTCTTTTCACTCCAGCCGCGTCAGCAATTTCGTCATAATACTCTTTTTGCAAAACACCTAACTTGTGTGCAAGGCGGGCCTTCAAACCTAGACCATGAAGATTGAAAAATTTTTAATTAGATTTTTTTGCAGCTGAAAATGGATAAGATAAAATGTAGAAAACAATAGTAAAATTTGGTCCCCACACAGACACAGGCAACGTTTTATTCATAACTTAAAAGTCCCAAAGTTAAATGGGTTAAATAGTGTTTTTGAGCAAAAGTTTCTATCTATCAATTTATTTCAAACAATAATTTATTAAATATTCTTGGAAGAAAAATATTATCTGGAAGTTTTTTACATTTGACACTAATTTAAAAAGCTCCATTTTCATACTTTTTATTGGCTTAAAAAAAATCAAATCAACCAGAGTCTAATGGTTTTGTAACTATAAAAAAATTATAATAATCAATACCAAGTTCCTCTTGTCTGAATTTCTGGTCCTTCCTCAGCTGTCGGTACATTTCCTCTTTTGATGGCAATTCGAATGCTCCGATAAGCAGCTTGAAGAAAAATTTGGCCTACAAATCACAACAAGTGGGCCGTGAGCCTCAATTGGAGTATGTTTGATTCATTTAAAAAAAAAATTAAAAATTAAAAAAAAATGGGTGGTGCCTTCTGCACCACTAATAAAGGGCACAGGCCGACAAGACTCTGTCTTGGCCTGACCCTAAAAATAAAAATAGTAAAAAGTTTTTTTTTGGTTTACTTGCAAATCCGCCAATTGATTTGACAAAATGTAATTGTTTATTGCCAGGAAACACATGGAGGGGTGCTCGATGTTTATCAAATGCTTGTGGAGTGGCTCAACGCCGTATCCATTTGTTGTGATTCCGCAGCTCTCGTGCAAAAAGGGGTAGCTGTGCTTGTACCCTGTTATTCACAAACACTTTTATGCTTATTTCAAATGGCGCGCTGATATGTGAAAAATACCTGTGCAATAAATCACATCGTCAAACTCATCACGCTGCCCATTAACAAAAGTGACGCCTGATTTGTCAAAATAATCCACGTCAGGTGCCATTTTCACGTTTTCTGGAAAGTTGGTCGCCATCTCTTTTAAATGGTGACTCATAGTAACCTTAAAATTGCAAAATCAATTTAAAAAAAAGGATTCATAATTTGGGAAATTAACTTGTTTTGAAACTTTTGCAAGTTCCATTGTTATATCCAAGGCGGAAGCAAACCCTCCAACAATGAGCACCCTTTTATTTGTGTAAGGTGCTGTCAATCTGAAGTCACGACTGTGAATGATATTTCCTTCAAAAATATCCGAACATTTGAATTCAGGCATATTTGGTTGAAAGAAGTGACTGAAAAAAGAAACGAAATATATTTATATGAATATAATCAACTAATCTCTTTATGAAACTGTATCAAAATAAATACCATGAAATCTTTTAGTTAAAAAGGATGAGATTAACAAATCAATACCCTTTGCAGATCATTAAAGCATCATATATCTCGGTTCTGGTCTCTTTGTTAATCCAATCAAATATTGTTAATTGCCACTTTTCTTCCTCCACGCTTTCACCAAAAGGCCTTACGTCTTTAACCCAGTTGTTAAACTGCAAGTTAATTATGATAACTTCAACAAATTTCGTTTGGTTTTGAAACAACCCTGATGTGATGCCGCAGTTCAAAGTGGTCAGCATAGCTTTTTAGGTATTCCAAAACCTGATTCGAATCGAGGAACGATTTTTCTTGATCGGGAAAAGGGAAATCCGGATAAGACATAACTTCTTTGGGCAAATTCGTTCTGATTTGCAGCAAAAATAAATAAATAAATATTTCTTAAATTAAAATTTTCAAAATAGCTACCGTAGAAATAAAAAAAAGGACAATACCTGAGATTTGCGTAAACGCTAGAGTGGATCGGCCTTCCGATTTTGTCGGTAGTCACGTATGGCGTGAAATCCCAAGTCCCACCGATTTCGCTATTTTGCTCAAAAACTTGGCACTCAAAGGGTGAACCAGGTGCTCCGAAATGACGCGCCGCCGCCAGTCCAGAGACCCCAGCGCCGATCACAGCCACGCGTCTGCGAAAATTCGCCTTCATCTCTCACGGGCCCGGCGACTCTAGCACTGAAGAAAATCAGCTGTATATTTTTGGTGCCGCGTTTGCTATTCACGCGTAGCACTGAAACTGATAGTCCTGTCAAGAAGGAGCCACAGATTCCCCTCTACAGTATAAGGCAAACAGTTACGACCCAATTTCTTGTCAAATCAAATTATAGTCACAGTGAAAACAGAAGACGCTGGTGTTTATCAGGTTTGTGGAAAAAAATGAGGAATTCTGGATATTAAAATTTTGTCAAAATTCTAGTTATAAATTTCTATTTGGTGCTTTAATTGTTTTAAATATATATAATTAAAAAAATGCAGATTTTTTAATAGAAACACTTTTAATGCCTCCAAATGATTTTTTTTTCAAATATACAAGCACCTAGAAAAAATTTTTTTTTTTTTATAAAATATCTCAAGCTTGTCTAAAATTAAAGTTTCTGAAAATGATCGATCTTCTCTCAAATCCATGGGAAGCTGCGCAAAAGATTTAATTAAGTTTAGAAAACATTCATCTTTCTTTTTTCCATTTCACCACAAGTGCCTAATAAATTTTGCGTCAGGTTCAATTCCGACGTGTTCTGATAACACCCAAGTTCGCTGCCCTTTTCATAAACAATTACTATGACAGGACGAGTCTGCAATCTGCAGGAAAGTGCATTGCCGCGGCCAAACATAAGGGACTGGCGCCAAAGGAGTAAAGGAGGCAACCTTTTTCGAAGACTGCCACTATTGTGACTCTTTCACTCGTTGATTTAATGATTTATGAGTTAATTTATTTCAATAATGTTGGAGGTCAAGGAAAAACGATTCCAACAACTTGCTCTTGTTATCTTAATTGCTGTGAGTGGTGACGTAAGCGCGAAGACGGTGCTTGAAACTCCTTTTGCCTTCAAATTATAAATTAATTTACTAAAATTTATAACATGTAATTTTATAAATTTAGTATATTTTGTAAACAATGAGATTAAAATTAAAACAAAGATTCTGTCTGATATAAAAGTGTTAACAATAAATTATTAAAATATTTTTAAATCCCTAATCTGCAAGGAAGTTTCAAATTTGTGGTAAAATTTCAATTTTGATGTTGTTATGTAAATTTAGTTGAAGAAGTTGACATGAAGAGATGATCATGGAAATGAAGATATGAGGCTTTTTCCTAGATGCAAAAATTTATTGTTTTTATTAACAAATTTATTTACAAAATTTTTGCAACGAGGAAAAAACCAAATCTTTATTTCCATAGTTATGTAAAGGCACGTATATTTTTGAACATTTTCAAATATTATAATTTTTCATACTTAATAAAAATAAGTATTTTTTATTTAAAAGTTTCTCATAATTCTACAAAAGTTTCTTCGTCAATTAATTTGTACCGCTTATCACGGAAGGTGTAGAGTTCTTTGAATTTTGACCTTGCTGCCTCAAAGTGCAGTTTTGAGACCACAGGTGGGATCCGTTTAACTCCTGCCGTGTCAGCGAGTTCATCATAATATTCTTTTTGTAAAACACCTAACTTATGGGCGAAGCGCGTCTTGAATCCTAAACCAAAATAGATATATTTTAAAATTATATTTTTTCCGCCTAAAAAAATTAAGCTGAACTTGCATCAAACTTAAATTATGAAACATCAAAATGGAGAATAAAAATTAACAAATTTAAATTACCAAGTTCTTCTTGTCTGAATTTCTGATCTTTCCTCAGCTGTCGGTACATTTCCTCTTTTGCTGGCAATTCGAAAGCGCCGATTAGCAGCTGGTAGAAAAATCGGGCCTGCAAATCACAAGTGGGCATCAATTGGAGTGAGTATGTGCGATTTGGTTTTGAGGTTTACTTGCAAATCCGCTAATTGCAGCGGCGAAATGTAATTGTTGATTGCCAGGAAGCACATGGAGGGGTGCTCGATGTTTATCAAATGCTTGTGGAGTGGCTCGACGCCGTACCCATCTGTCGTGACTCGGCAGCTCTCGTGCAGAAAGGGGTAGCTGGGCTTGTACCCTGTTACACACACACACATACACTCTGATGCTTTTCAAACGCACTCTGACAAGTGGAAAAAACCTGTGCAATAAATCACATCGTCAAACTCGTCACGTTGCCCATTAACAAAAGTGACGCCCGTTTTGTCAAAAAAATCCACGTCAGGTGCCATTTTCACGTTTTCCGGAAAGTTGGTCGCCATCTCTTTTAAATGGTGACTCAGAGTAACCTTATGGTTAAAAAATTAATTTAAAAAAGGGATTCAATTTGTGAAATTACTTGTTTTGAAACTTTCGCGAGTTCCATTGTTATATCTATAGCAGAAAAAGAACCTCCAACAATTAGCACCCTTTTATTCGTGTAAGGAGCTGGCATCCTGTATTCGCGACTGTGAATAATTCTTCCTTCAAAAATGTCTCTACCTTGGCATTCAGGAATATTTGGATGAAAGAAGTGACTGAAATTGAAAATTAAAAATTTAAATAAAATTAATAATAACATTTAATTTAAATATATAATTCCACAAAAGAGCAAAAAAAAGAGAACACCGAAAATAAAATGCCTCTATCTATATATGTTTTCACCAGGACAAGTAAACAGTGTTTTAAGTGATTTAAAAATTTTATTAATCAATAAAATTAATTGTTAATGAGCAATTGAAATTATTAACATAATATATTAAACATAGTTATAAATATTAAAAATTATGTTTATTGATTTGTTGTTATATTGGTGCTTTTAAATGTTTTTGTTGTCTTGAGGATTGATATTTGTTTATAATGGATAGTGAGATAAAAGGTATAAAAAAATTAATACCCATTGCAGATCATTAAAGCATCAAATATTTCGGTTCTGGTCTCTTTGCTAATCCAATCAAATATTGTTAATTGCCATTTTTCTTCCTCAACGTTTTCACCAACTGGCCTCACCTCTTTAACCCAGTTATTGAACTGAAAATTTAATTGTGATTGCTAAACTTAATCAATTTTCACATTGAAACAACCTTGATGTGTTGCCGCAGGCCAAAGTGGTTAGCGTAGCTGTGCAGGTATTCTAAAACCTGCTCCGATGTAAGGTACGATTTTTCTTGTTCAGGAAAAAGGAAATCCGGATAAGACATCACTTCCTTTGGCAAATTCGTTCTAATTAAAAAATATATAAATATTTATCATTTTTTAAATTAACATTATATATAAGGAATAAATAAAGAAAAATACCTGAGATTGGTGTACATGCTCGAGTGGATCGGCCTTCCAATTTCGTCGACACTCACGTGAGGCGTGAAAACCCACGTCCCGCCAATTTCACTGCTTTGCTCAAAAACTTGGCACTCAAAGGGCGAATCAGGTGCTCCAAAATGCCGCGCCGCCGCCAGTCCTGAGGGTCCGGCGCCGATCACGGCCACGCGCCTGCGAAAATTCGCATTCATTCTCACCAGCCGCGACTCTCACACTGGTAAAAATGATTGTATATTTTTGGTGCTGCGTTCTCCAAGCACACGTGACATTGAAAGTCCTGTCGTCAGCGAGGAGCCACAGCTTCCCCTCCAAGTGTTTTAAGCAAACAGTGAAAGGCTCCACTTTGTCGTAAAAAAAGAGTAGGCGCAAATAAAAAGATGCCGTGGTGTTATCGCTTTTTTAATTTTTTTTTCATATGTGAAGTTCAATTGAAACATTGCAAAACAGGTGATCGAGTACCTCTTTTGCAATACAAAGATTAAAAAATTTAGAATTGAAAGTCAAGATTTTTATGGAAATCTTAAAAATGCTTTCTTTTAAATAAAATTAATTTCTTGAAAATGAAAAAAATTTATTTTATGAGCGCTTGTCTTTCACCTTTATCTTAAACAATTGTGTCCATTTCAAAGATTAAATCTGCAATTGCGTTGGTCATATCCTTGCGAAATATTACATTAGTTTGGAAAACCTCAACAGCCTTGATCTTCCTCTTTTCCTCATCACCACCAGTGCCGAATAAATTTTTCAGATTTTCCTCGGAGAGCTCCTCGCCGTCTGGTGGCGAAATTTCTTCAAGAAAAGCAAGTGGGAATAAAGAAATGGTAAAAAGCATGCCGCCTAATCTTGATTCATCGTAGCCCTGAACAAATTGATCCAGATCGATTGGATCCGGGGTTGAATTGCTGATGGAGTTGAAGGTTTCTACATAGGTTTTGAGCAGACTCTTCTCATGCATTTTCCTGAAGTCACTCTTGATACTCAAGTACAAAAGGTACATCAGATCAGAGTAAACAGGAGCGTAACGAAGGACCTGCATGTCGATGAACCTGATTTCGAGCGGTTCGTCCGTGTCAGGGTGACTTCGGAACATGAAGTTGTTCACCCAGCAGTCGCCGTGACAAAGAGCATTCACGTACCTATGCCAGAAATTATGATAAGTTTTGATTTTATTTTTTATCTCAATTATGTATGAAACGTTAACTTTAGTCATGTTTAAATATAATTTTTGAAATATTTATTGTTTGAAATTTATCAATAATTAATCAAAATATAAGGTATCAAAATATAAATTTACGCCTACTGTAATTAATTGTTGTTTTCTACTATTTTGTTTAATTTATGGATGATTCTTCTGTTTTTTTTTTATTATTTTATTTTAGTTCTTTTTTTAATTAACTGTTTTTAAAATTTAGCAAAGCAATATACACACCTAGGATCGGCTTTGCAAGATTTAACCAAGCATGGAAAAACGTTGCCTTGCAGGTCCTCAAGCCAGTCTGTATATTTTTTAATTCTGTCCAAATCGTCTTTGTAAATGTGCTTCATTAAGGGCACAACAGTGCAGATAATGGTGCCACTGACCATCTGCCTAAAGGTCTTTCCACCGTCCCCCTCTAGCAGCACATCTCGCTCAAAAAGCTCAGGCATCTCTTTCAGCCAGTCCGTACCTTGCGAAGACGCGTGGAACTTTGCCAACTCGCGTATCACCATTCTTACATGGCTTAAAGTAAGCACCTAGATGATAAAACATTTTAAATTTCATATTTTTAATCAATTATCACCATTTAAAGAGTTCCATTTATTTAGAAATTTCTTTGTTTATTTTACTTTTTTTAATTTTTAAAACATTAAACATTACTTTAAGCTTCAAGTAAAGCTGCAATTAGGTTAATAAACTTTATAAAACTACTAAAAAGCTATGTAAAAGTTATTAAAATTATTTACTTCAAGTTAATGCAACAGTACCCTTCATTTACTAACAAAATAAATAAATTTAGTATAGAATTAACCATTTTTTTTCATCACTTAGACAGATCATGTTCCGAGAGGAAATGTAGAGGACTTTCAGTTATACTTATAAATTTAATTTAAGTGAATTTTTGGAGATACAATATTAACAATAAATAATAATAATAGCAAGTTAGAAATGAATTAATAGTGCGCATTAATATAGAATTAACCAACTTGTTCCTCAAGCTCTCCAAGGTTTTTGATAATAGAGGAAAAACCAGACAGGCCCAGGTCTTCCATCACAATAGTGCTGGCCGAGTGTGTGAAAAAGCATTCAACCACCTTCAGGTCAGGACACTTCCTTTTCATCAGCGGGAAGCACCTCGTGAAAAAAGCGGCCTCCTGGTCGAAAAGTCGCATTTCCTGCGCCACCTTCCTTTGCGCCTCCATCACTGGCAACCTTTTGACCACAAACTGCGCCACCTTAATTTCTCCACTGGGTACCTGACAGGTCGCTCGAACCCTGAAGATACTCGACATGAAACCCTGAACTGTCTCTGTGCCCTTGAGCACTTCGTAATCGACCAGGGCGGCATCTCCGCCATGCAAAGTTTTGACCGCTGCGATCACATCGCCAGGGTGTACGTGCAACTTCAAATCAGACATCACTGCGACTGCTTTGAGTCAATATGTAGTAATCAAGAAAAGTGAGTCTATTATAACTTTTATCTCTAGCACTAAAATGAAGATAAAAATTACAGGTCAATCGTTATCATTCCAGCAGATAATTGTGATCATTTGAAAAAAAAATGCAGACGTGGTAATTTGATTTAAATTACAATCAGAAAATTGAAGTTAAAATGAGAAAGAAGATAAGCTTATCCCTTTAAATAAAAACTTTAGAAATACTGTGCATAAACGGCCAAATATTTTGTGCAAATAAGTAATTAAAACATTGACGTAATAAAGAATAATTAAAAACAAAGCAATTATTAAAAACCCTTACAATTAAATAACAAGCTGAGCAATAATTTGATTTTATATTTAATTTTCAGTAAAGTTCAAAGTTATTACAAATTATTTTCTATTAAATACTGTAAACAAATGAATACAGTTTGTGTAGACAATGAGGAATTATGCAACCCGCTTCACAAATCTTCCCTATAAATGGGAGTATAGTAAAACAATTTTCATTGTTTCCTACAGTAAAAATATCAATATGTCTGCTTATAATTAAAATTAAGTGTCAATATAGCATGAATTAAAATTATTATGTTATTTGTATAAGTATCGCAAGTCGATTGGGAAATTTTAAATAATTTTTAAATTAACTTGATTCGAGTGCAGCTTCAACAAGGAGCAAATTGTTGCAGAACAGAGCCATACCCACCCCCGCATATTCGCGATCGGAGCGAAATAATATCATTTGGACGCGCGGCCGTGGCTAGAGGACAAAATATAAAGGGATCATTGAGTGGCGCGTCGAATCAGATTACTAAGCAGCGCGCATTATTGGCTCCGGATCCTGGGTGACGGCGGGCTGGATTGGCTGGCCGGGTGGAAGGGAGAAGCCGCAGCCGCCGAGGGTGCTCGCTCCGGAGGCGGCAGTCACACTCGTGCACTCGGTCGTCGAGGGTTGCGAACGCGCACAGAAAGCACCCCCGCTCAGTGAATGCTGGGCAACGTGATGCAGCCGCGCACCAACGCAGCCGACCTGACCGACACCGGCAGACCTGGCGAGCAACACCTGCACGCCAAGTCCAGCAGGGTCTACAGCATTGACCAGATCCTGGGCCACCACGCCGCCAGCAGACCTTGCGTCTCGCCCCCGGGCGCCCTCCGTGCAGAAGGTGAGCAACAATATCTTTGAAAATTTCCACACAAATTAACGATTAAGATTTAATTTAAAAAATTTATCAATCTCTTTAATACTGTCCGGAAACACAAGGAAATAATAATATTATGGCCTTATAAAGATTCTTTAGAATGATTGAAAGATACAAAAAATTATTTCTATACCAAAAACACAATGAAATTGCTATTGACAAATATAGGGAAAGATATTGGATAAGGTGTTATTAATTAGATTTTTTGACAATTAATATTTATATATAATTTTGATTACTAATTTTTGGTTGAAAAATTATATTTACTCAATTAATATATCACTGCTCATAACGAGGTAAATCAATCAGAATTTCAAAGAGAATATATAATTCAATTTGAAAAAGAAATAAGAAAAATTTAGATTTCTAAACATGCGTTTAAAAGTGAATTAAAAAAAAATAAATTATTAGAATAAAAATCTCGTTATGGGCAGTAAATGCCTTTATGATAGATCATTTAACACAATTTGAAACTAAAAATTTAAATATCAGTGCCTAATAGATATTCTAGAAATAATTTATAAACCATGAAATATAATGAATTATTATTAAAATATTAAATAATTGAATTTTAAAACTTTTACAAATTATCAATAAATCAAAATAATTGTTATTTAAAGAATTTACGCTATTATTTTTTTGAAGAAAAATTTTCTGTAAGAAAAAAATTGTTTTGTTAATAATTTTTCATAGTTAGAAAATTCTAGAATAACCCATTAATAGTGTTCTAATTATTAATAGTATCCATTATTTATTATTTATTTTCACATTTTATTTACAATAAAATGTGAGTCAAGTTGTATTTTATTGCATTTTGTGGAGTTATATTGTTGAGGAAAATTGAAAATTAATTACTTTTAAAATCGATTTTTATGATTACCTACAAACAATGTTGTGAATAAAATTAATATAAATAACAATTTTGCCTCTCAGCAAATTACTTGCTTGATTGATTGATTAATTAATTAGTTCGAACGTGCCAGGTTTATTGTGCCTCGTAATTGTTCATTAAATTTCCAATTAAACAATTATAGATCGCACCGAAAATGGATTCATAATTCCCCAAAGTTAAATTTAACGGCGGCAAGTATGTAATTATTAGAAGTAAATAGCAAAACACAATTAACCTGAGGTTCCTAAGTGCGGTCGGTCTGGAAAATTGAGAGCCTTTTCTTGTCTTAAAAGGCGGCACCTCATGACGCAACAAATTTTGACACACCAACAACACTCACACATCATCTCTCATTCATGACCTCGCTCAACGTTTTAAAAGTAAATAAAAACGCCAGACGAAGAAAATCGGCTCGTAAAACGGAAATATTGTTCCCTATAATTAGCCTTCGATGGGGTGGTTTACGTGACTCAACCAGTTTAATTCTTTTTTCTTATCACAATTTCTCATTGGGAAAGAACTATCTGTTTGTTTTGACGCGTCGTTATATCACAATTTAATAGATTAGAAAAGAAAGTTCCCTTCTATATACCTTAAAAAGTCTTTTGGAATAATTTCTACATAGGGGTTATAGAGTTGTAAAACCGCAGCAGGCTAATAATAAATTCTCAATTCTCCCATTGGTGACGAGAAGAATGAAAGGCTCATTATGCCGCGTGTTTGACATGTTGCGCGCTCAACAAATTATGACATGTTGTGTCAAGAAATCCAGACTGTGAGCCCTTTTTTTAAAACTTTTTTATTTACCGCGCACCAATTCTCACACTCGTTTATTCAAATTAATAAACATAAATCTGCATAAGCATTCGTCCAAATAAAAGATATTTTGATCGCTCGTCCCGAGGCGCAGTCGGATGTGAAAGGGTTCTCGGTCGCTTTTTTATTTCGTTTTTTAAAGCGCGGAGGATTTTAAGGAGCTCTGCGGGTTTTGTGGTGGCGCGAAGGGGTGCATTGCGCGCAGAAAACTCGTACAATGCGTTCAGGCAAGCATTCTCTCTTCTTTTCGAGTGCTCAAGGTGCGGAGATTGAGATTTATTATATTTTTAAAAGAGAAGAACGGCGCGGTTGCACCCTCTGTTGCGTCGGAAGAATGAGCCGCGGCCGTTTAATATGATCTGAGATCGCCGAAAAATCCCTTTAAGACTTCAAATAGCTTGAATTACTCCATTAGCACCTTCAGAAAATAAGCCCTTAATAATAAAGAAAAAAATATTGGTAAATTATTTTACAAAAAAAACCTTGGAAAATAGTTTCCAAAGCAAATTTGTTCTTACTATTTTTAAATACACCCGAAAGTGGACAATAAAAATTTATTCGTATTCAAATTCAACTGATTCCTTTTATTTTCAAACAAAGAGATGTCTTGTCGCTTTGACACGTTTCAATTGCAAACCAGTTTCTTTTCGACCTCATTAACAAGCCTGGTTATAACAAACTTACAACTAGTCCGATAGCCTCGACAACTCTCTCATATATATGATTTCTTTTCACCCTATTAAAATAACATTTCAGCCCCATTAAGCACGAATCCTCGGACTCAGGTGCAACAAAGGGTTGCTTTTTCATATTACAGAGACCGTTCGCCGCCTCGGGCCGTTTCGTTCGAGATGCCTGCGTTCATTTTTGACAGGCACACAATGGCCAATGTAACTGCATGTGGTGTATCAAAAGCAGCTCACATCAAAATATTGTCCGCCTCTCGAAAGGATCTCGCTCTTTTGTATACTTTTGTTGCACTTTCAAGAGGCATCGCCGCGATAAAAACCGCTCGCTCGGAAGTAATGAGACGGATAAATTATTATTTTCGTTTGCGCGACCGCCCGTAATTGAGAGACTCGCTTTTTATTCATACCAAGCTCGGTGGAATTTTTCGCGTGCGAGTGAGAGGAGAGCACTTGGGATGGTTTTGTTCGCGCCATGACTGTGGCCATTGTGGCGGAAGAAAATTGATCTGTTGAAAGAGGAAGGGACTGGCAGCTAATTAATGTCTGCAGCGTAACCAGACTGCAGACGTTCAAATCACCCACATCTTTCAAACTCCAACCACCTCCACATTGAATTAAGCTAAAAAATTCAATATATAAGAGGCATTTTAGAATTTATGAACACAAAAATTAATATTTTCCTCTAAAAATATTTGTAATATTTTTATCATTAACGTTTTCAATTTATTTTTTTTTCTTTGCTTATGATAATGATGCAAATTTATTTCCTTGGAGTCCCATAAGTATCTTTGAAATCAAGAAAATTTAATAATTCATTTATAATATTTCCATAAAAGAGAGAAAACAAATTTAATTTTATTTCCAGCTTTTCCATTATTATAAGGTAAAGTTAAAAAAATATGTAAAGTCGTGTAGAGTTAATAAAATAAAAAGACTATTTCCTTAATTTTGACGTCAATTTTTTGATGAGGATTTTATCTTATAATATGTCTGGACGATAACTGATGCTTCATAAACTTTGTGTTCTTTTTAATCATAAAAACAAAGTTTAATGAATTTTTCAACATTGTTTTTTTAATATCTCAAAAATGTTCTTCATTTATCGTTTTTATTTCTGTTGATCTTTTGATAAATATTGAATATTGAATCATTATTATCATTTAAAAATTTTGATAAATGAATTTTGAATGATAAAAATAATTAATATATAAAAAAATTATTATAATATAGTTATTCAAAACGTTTGAGGTTTGAGATAGTATTTAAGACCTTTATTGTACAGGCATATTCATGCTTCAAAAGTTTGAAAGAACCTCTTTGGTGCCTTCCGGGACACCACCTGAAATTAAATGCATCAGCCCACAATTGCGGCTATAAGATTATTATTTTGCTCCCGCGAGCACATAATACCACGTATGCCCAGCATCCATTTATCGTCGCAGAGTTCCCGTCAAATCGAAAACGAGCATAATTGAATGAGGCCGCGAGATGAGCTGAGGAATAATAATTGAGGCAGAATGGCTGGTTGCATCCATTCTAATTCAAATATGGCATGGCAAGACGCCGCGCTGCGAGGCATCATTCAAAACAGCTCTCCGTCTCAGCTGCACAATAAAACACGTAATAAAGCGCCCATTGTGCATTTGAATTAAACTATATTCGCTCAAACGAGATATAGAGCGGCGTATCGTTGTCATTTGCTGTCGTTGTGCTCAAAGCAAAGGGAGGCTCATTAGCCGAGCGCACGCTCATCAAGGCGTGATCGAGTGCATCCTCCTTAATTGTTAGAATGCACTGCTTTATTGCTTTGTTATTAATCCACATTATCAGAGTATATTTAAATGGTATTGACGTTTCTTTGAAGTATCTATGATCACTTCAGATGTGTGTTTGTTTCTAATTACATATTGACGATATTGATTATAGAAAACAATTTGTTAATCTGAAGGATTAAAAGGACCAAATGAAATTTTGTACAATAACATTAACTTTTTGAATGGCATTAGCAAATTAAGTTATCAAATAATAAGATGTACAAAAATACATGGAAAATAACTTTTAATTGGAAAGTAAATAGTTTTTTGAACCCAATAAACAAATTTCTGAAACTAAATTCAATAAAACTAAGTCAATTAACGTTCAAATTATACAATCATAATTCAATGATTTTAAACTTTGAACAAATTTTATTTTGTATACCAAAAAACAATGTGTCATAAAGTTTCTGAAAAAGTTTATTTTATGACATAGTCAAATTTCGGGAAGAAATGATTTGCGTTTCTTAATGTGTTATAATTATTTTTTCATTGGTTTTTTCTGAAACAAATCGAATTTACATTATGAAAAATTATACATACATATATAATTTTGTAGCTGCTGTGAATTTCAAACTGCCTTTTCGTTTGGCAACTTCATGAAAAAAGGCTTGACGTGCACTGCGCTAATTACTCACACTTAATTGAGCGTCAAATGCTAATCGTGCGAAACCCCTTCTTCTCTCGTTTAGTCGCAATTAAAAGCGCTGCGGCTCATCCCCCTCGTGAAAATCTCTTCAGCTCTTTAGCATAAACAGATCTAGTTTTCTGGTCGCGCGCTCCAAATAGAGGCTCACAATGGAGATTAGTCGACGTTGCACGCTCTCACAAAGGCGCCGACAGGAATAAGAGACACCTACGAGCTGCCTAATTAGGCAGCAGCGATTATTTTCCACCACCGAACCAACCACCCCCTGGCTGCTCGATACATGCACGCTTTCAGAATCAAAAAGCTCCACGCCTTTTCGCCATCAAAAAAACAGAGCACTCGCCTTAAAGTGCCTCTGCGCTAAACCCACATAATGGCTCTGTGTGTAAACGATAAGCTCTCAAGCTAAGCTATTTCTAACAGACAAACAAACAAGAGATTTCCTTATGAAAGAAATTTTGAATATCTGGAAATCTTCACGAGAGAGCAAAAAGGATTACGCTCTTATTTGAGGTACTTAACGTTATGCATTGTTGAATTAAATTTTCCTACACAAAAGTTCTGCTATATCCAAAATAATTTTATTCGTTGTGAATTTATTTTAAATTCTGCGAACAATTAGCACAATTATTTCTATTTTTATAATTTTTGCTTTTTATTTCTATAATTAAAAGATGCAATTTAAACAACATAATGCAATTTCATCAAAACAAATTAAAAGGTGGTAACAACTATTTTAATAAATAACACAAACAAATGTAATAATGGTCCACAGAAATGCTTAAAGATTTTGCCTACTTTTTAAAACATTGACTGGGTACAAATGGGGGGGGGGGGGAGTAGTTCAAATTTCAAAAACTTCTTTTTAGTTCAATTTACACAATTGTTTCCTCAAACACAAAGTGTCACCATTAGAAAAAAAAATTATTTAAAATTGTTAAATCAAACTAGACACAAGTTCTTTTCATGTTGCATGAAGAAAATTTCATCAACCATAATTTATTTCATTGGTTTTGAAACTTTTTGACTTGCCACAGGTTATACACATGATTAAACGTGGAAATTAATTGGCATTTATAATCTGCTTGGTAAAAAGGCGGTGCTTGTATGAGAGCATCAATAATTCTTTGCTGATGCACGTTTCGACTCTTATTTTGCGCCGCCGCTCTGCTACATTTTAATCCGCTCGCTCACTCACTCGCGCTGGCCGGGGTCTATCAATAAAAAATTATATGATGAGCAAGAGAGAGCAGGCAGGACAGGAATGAAAAAGGAGGAGTTAAGCTGTACGAAGCCAGCCAGCCATTTCATCGCGCGCGCAGTGCTACGTGCGGATCCGAAGTAATAAAGGGAGATGAATTCAAAAAGAGGATTAATAACTCCCTTTTTATTTGTACTTTTGAATGTAGTTCATTATAAAACATGGAAATTGTGTATTACACACGACGCCGCCGACTCAGCAGTCACGCTCGCCGCTTTTTCCAATATGGGAAAAAAATTCAAATTTTTGATCTGACAAAACACATCTCGAACACGAAACGACTAATGAACTCATTTGCTTTGGATTTTGCACATAATCTCCGTGAAATCAAAACAAATTCCAAAGAGAGTTTTCCCAGTAGCGCGCCAATTTATTTGAGAGCCATCCATCTACTTTGTTGCAAAAAATAAACAACTCTCCCTTTTAATGAATTTCAATATTAAAACGCAGCATTTTCCGCATTTTTTTCCCTAATCACAAAATTTGTGTTTTATTTTTCAGACGCCGACTCGAGTCGTTTGGAGAGCGCTTCGACAAGCTCTGGTGACACAGAGCATGGAGGTGATGAGGCGGCCAATGGCCTCGGCGGCTCCGACATGGGCCACGGTGGCATGGACGACGGTGACGACATGAACAAGCCACGCAAAATTCGTCGCAGCCGCACCACGTTCACCACCTACCAGTTGCACCAGCTCGAGAGGGCCTTCGAAAAGACGCAGTACCCAGACGTCTTCACCAGAGAAGAACTCGCCATGCGACTCGATCTCAGCGAGGCCAGAGTACAGGTCAGTTACAATTTTTAAAATTTACACGTAACCAACCAATTTAAAATTAATGTAAAAAATTATCGAAATTTTAAATTAATCAAAAGCCAGATAATTTAGATATTTTCAATCTCAACATACATTATGTTTTATTGCTCCCCTTACAAAATAAAACGTATGCAAATAATTATTATCTTATTATAAATTTTATAAAAATATGCTAGTGTGGGTTCACCGCGGCGGCCGTGTCTCTTTTGATGTCGGGCGTTTTAGCAGACCTCTGCTAGTTGTGATACCCTTTCTGCTCATTTTTCCAATTTCAATTTTTTTTGTATGACTTGAGTAGAATAAATAATAATAATAATAATAATAATAATAATAAAATAGCTTATACGCTTATGACAGAAATAAATTTGCTATATTTATATGTGCAACATACAAATGTTTGCAATTAAAAAAAAAAAAAATAAATAAATAGTAAACAAGCGGAATTTTTACCTAGTTGACTTTCAGGTTGGGTGAAGTTAAAATTAAAGCATATCGAAATTGCAAAATAAATTAAATTCGTGCACATAAGAGGCCAGTATTATTTGAAGTTAAAAGAATTGATTCGGTCTCGTATTCTAATCTGGAAAAAATAATGTCTATAATTTAAAAAAATGGAGACTAATCAATTATTACTTGCTTTTATTTAATTAAAAATTTAATTCCAATAATTACTAGAAACAAATAATTTTTGTAATTTGACCTCTCGATGCAAATTATCCACAGCAATTAGCAGATAACAAACTAATTGCAGCCGCAATTCTCTCCCCGCCGTTTTATCTGCTCGACCACCCCCTCTAAGCCTCCAGACGAGAGAGACAACCGCGCGCGAATCCTGCTAATTACCGATATTAAAAGTCGGCCGCTTCCTCCTGCAGCTTAATGAAATAGAATGCGAGAGCACGTGTCGGTCGGGCAGGTCGTGGGAGAGACTCACGGCCCGGCTAAATCCGCCGAGCGCTCTTTTCTCACCCCCTCACTTGCATTGTGTTGTGCGTTTTATACTCGCATTGTGCAGATTACAAAATCGTTTTCTTATTCAGCCAATTATCCGTCATTAGCTGGCGTGTTCGTAATAAGAGAGTCGGCGCGCGTGTCATTACGCAATCAATATAATTAATTTCGTATTAGGGCAGCTGCCGGGAGTGGATGTGTGTGGATAAAGCGTGGGGCGCATTGTGTTCCAGATTTTATCGCGCCGCCGGCTAATAAAATGCAATAAAACGGAACCCTTGCTTGCTTGTGTGTCCCCAGAACTGCGCGACTGCCGAGCACACAGCGCATAGACACGCGCACGTTTTATTAAAAAAAGTAGGAACGAGGTTGTGAAACCCAGGTTAATTGTTCAAGGGAAATTCTTCTTGATCCCGTTATAAAAATAAAGTTGTTATTGTGCATTGGTCATGTGATATTGTAATCAGGAGATAATTTAAATAATAAAACATAAATACATAATTATTATTTTTTTAAAACAAACAATGATTTTACTAATTATAATATTTAATGTCTTCATTATAATAAATTTCTATTACGTTTTTTATGCAATGTATTATTTTAGTAGCAATAATGTTTTTAAAAATTTTAAATCATGAAGTTAATTGGTCAAATAAAAAAATTTCTGTATAATGGAAATAATTTTCAAATTATATTGGTAACATTAAAGGTAGACAATATCTCCTTAAATTAAATTAAATTTACATGCTTCATGCATACCTCAGATCTGGTGTTAATTCATTCATTTATTTTCGCTCACACATGATTAATTGTTTTTAATAAATATTGGTGATGATGACTAATTAAAACGATTAAAATAAAAATTAAATAACAAAAGTCAGGAGCAATAAGAAAATCAATAACATAGGTAGAGCATACAAATTGCTTTTAAACTAGATTTATGTTGAGCATTATTGTGAACTTGACGAAATAATAATTCCAAATTAATTGGCAGTGCAGGAAACACGCATCAGGTTGCTGCTGCTGGTGTTTCTGCTCAAGCTTGTTTGCGGATGAAAATTTCAAGCGCACACATTCGCAGCGTGCGCAAGCTAATTAATTTCAATAGGATTATTTTGCGTTGTTGACTTCGCTCGTTGGTGCTCGCGGGAATCGGGGATGCGCGTGTGCGGTTTCAGAGCTTGAGATGATGCGCTTAACGTGGTGCTAACTAATTTTGCAGGAAAATCTCACAAGCTTGAAAACGTCAAGAGTTTGTTGAAGAGGAACTAAATTAAAATTATTTTTAACGCTGAAAATATGATAAAAATGGGAAAATTAGCTGTATTATTGAGATCAATTTTTATCTACTTATGTAGATTGTTGAGAATTTCACTATTTACTTGGAGATGACATGCCGTGGAAAATTTAGGTTTCATTTATTTCTTCAGTTCCATAATTTTGGCTTCAACATTCAAATAGTGCTCCTCAAAATAAATCATGCACTGATATCAAAACATTAATTTCCTCGAATTTCTGATTAAATTCAATATCATTATAAATTTAAAGACGAGTAAAGAATATCATTCTTGATTTCATTTCAACACGTATATGTACAAAGCATTAAAAACAAATTGAAGGTAGGCAACATGCTACACACAAAAGTTGCTCAGGTTGCAGTATTAAAAATAAAAATGAAAAATATTTTTAAATAAAATTTAAAATTTTAAAAATTTATTTCGGGCTTTTCCATGATCATCTCCTCGAGTGTCAACTTCTTCAAACAAAATTTAAACGATTCAACATTTTTCTTTGAAAAAAAAAATTAGTGTTCCCAATATTCTTTGTGTGTTTTTGAGTCTATCTAAGTTGCCAAAAACGCCCGTTCAGCCTGAAATAAAAATAGAATCAGCACGTCCAGGTCAAATAAAAGCGTCGTTGATTGGCCGAATTAAAAGGCAATTGAGTGGCCAGGGTGTAATGGGTCCGCGTGTGGGTCTCGTCAATTGTGTAATTACCCCGGCGGCCGAGCACGCAGAGACACAATTGGCATCCGATTACCTATCATTGTGCTGTGCCGGCGCTTCATCTAACCAACTTATTCGGGGGCGAATTCAACCCTCTCTTTCACTTTTTTTTCCGCCGCGCCGCAACAATAGGCAGTCGATTGGCCGCATAATGTGCATGAATGTGTATGTGTGTGGGTCGGGGAAAAACGAGCCAGAGAGAGAAACACAAGCGCTGATGAAGAGCAGATTAAACGCGTCTAATTGTTTCCAATTAGCGGTGTGTTCGCTGATGACGCGCAATTATTGCGATGCCGCGATAATCGGCGCCGAATTGTCTGCCACAGAATCGAGCGTGGAGAGAATAACTAACGAGGCAAAGTAGAGGGGCTCCTCAAGAGCGAAGTAGTGACGATGAGGACTTTGCATGTAAGAGATGAGGACCACCTGCTTGTCATTGAATGTTTAAATTAAGCAGGGGCGGGAGTTTCACTCAACTACTTTTGCTCTAAAACCTTAAATTGGAGTCTCTTGAAATTTACAAACATGAAAAGGAACTAGTTATTTTCAAGCACTGAATTATTCTCCAAAATTTTGTCTCTAACGGTCGGTATTATTCAATTGTGAGCTCGAAAATCAATAATCCTAACCAGATTAAACCATTGTATTGTATTTCTTTGATATTAGGTGCTATATTTATTTATTAGCTAATTACGGCTAACTATAGTGAAATTATAGTTTTTATTTATTAGAAAGGCATTTGATTTTTTGGTAAAATTATAAAATATTTGATTTTGAAAGTGATATAATATTAAACTATGAATGTTAAGAATTGCCACTTACGTCTTCCAGCAATTAATACTTCTTAGCTGACCGAGACGAGGAGGGGAATTTTAATTTACATCTTAATTCAATGCACTTTATTTGCAGTATAAAATTATGCAATTATACTATACCACTCTACTCCTTCAGAAATTCCAAGTTAAAAGCTGAAAGTAATTGTCACAACAATTAAAATGTTTAGAACTTTTAATTAAAATTAAAATTAATCTTCGTGAAATTGCTCAAAATATATTATTTTGGTTTCGTGTTTTTCATGGAGGGAAACAGTATTTTACTTATGTACATTACATTAATTATTATGCAAACTGAATTAAATTATTTAACAAAAAGGGAAAAATTTTAAAACTGCAACAACTCGGCACACTAAAACCCATTTTTAACATTTGTATCAGATTTAGCTTTAAAATTGTAAGCACTCTGCGTTTCGTTCTGTCGTCGACAACTACAGTAATTTCGCTCAAATTAAATTATTAAGTCTCCGGTTGCGGCGCGTCTGACTAATTTGCGCTCCACTCTCTTTTCTCATACGTACTCGGCTGGTAATAATTTCTTCTTACTTATTACGCCGCTTTGTCTCGCGCGCGCAGCGCAGCCACTCGTCGCGGAAAACAACGGCTGCACGTTTAATATAAAAATTAGTAAGGAGCGCGCGCGGATTATTAAGTCCTCTTTGTTTCGCGCTCGCCTCCAATTATTTCGCGAGAATTATTTAGCAAACGCTGCAGAGCAGAGAGAAGGAGAGCAGGAAAAGAAATAATAGCCGCACTCGACGGATTAAGCTGAAAATTTTGTGTATTGACTCGAGCACCGTTTAATTACGCACGACAATTGCGTTGCGCGTCTTCAAGATAATTGGAGCAAATTCACAATGGCACAAAGAAAGACGAGGGAGCCGCTCTTTGTGCTCTCAGCCAATTATTTGGCGATTTGCGCGCCGAAGCCAATCATCAACTTTTCCCCGCAATTTCCAAGCAATTCGATTTGTATATAGTCGAGTATTTTATTTTTTGATCCGATTGCTTTCACCGCTTGGCAAGTGCGCATTTATAAAGAGAACTTTATTGTGTTGCAGGTCTGGTTCCAGAACCGCAGGGCGAAGTGGAGGAAGCGTGAAAAGGCGCTCGGCAGAGAGACCACTGGCTTTCTGCACGCTGAACAAGCAGGTGAGCTTCAAAACTACATTTATTGTTAGGCTGAATATCTTCTAAAAAGTCTTATTTTCACTGCCTTCATAGATGAATTTTTGAACGACAATAAACAACATTCAGCCGAGTTGTCAGTTGAATTTGGTTAAATTTAATATAAATTGATTTTTAAGTAATTGGCAATCCAAAAGCTTTACCTTGCCCAGGCTTTTAGATCGCCCTCAATATTTTTATTGTGTGCTCTGTATGAGCTTTTAAATTTTTAAACGTATATGATACAATTAGCAATAAATTGTTAACCACAGCACAAAATTAAATTTCAGTAGTTATTAATACAAACCTTATGAAACTGATCTAACAAAATAGTGGAATTATGAAAATCGCAACTTATTTGGTTCTTTTTTATGTATGGGATTAAACTTTAAAGGTTTTGTTCTTTCAGTTCCAAATATGCGATACATTAAAAAAAAAAAATTAGATTTTTTTCGGTGAGCAAATAGGCCTGATAAAAAAATTACTCTAGAAAAAATGGTTTCAAGATTGTCAAATCGTTATATTTAAATTTTTAAATACTGCTGATAATAAACTACTTTAATGAAGATTTCTGTCTGAATTTCTTATTTCGTGATAATTTCAAGCTTTGAAACGAGTTCCAAGTTAATCCCTAAGCAGGTTTCCCACTCCTTTTTCCAGGCATCCACGACTTCAACGTTCACGCACAATTGGCAGGCCTTCCTCACCTTGGTGGTGGCCCTCACGAGGCATTTTGGCCGGGCCCTGGAACTTTGGGCGCCGCTTTGGGTTTTGGGCCCATGTTGGGTCTCCCACCAGGCCTCAGCCTTCCGTGGGCAGCGGCTGCCGCTTCTGGAAAAGGGCCCTCGCCGCCCCTGCACGCCCTTTTGTCGCACTACGTGTTGGCGGCAGGGTTGCCCGGCCCTGGAGGTCTCGCAGGTTTTGTGCCACCTGGAGTGCTAGGCTCGCTGCAGCACTCTGCCGCCGCCTCCGTGGTGCCACCTCCGCAGTCGCCGCCTCACCCGCCCAAGGGTCGCAGTCCTGACGTTGAGGCTGAACAGGGTAGCAACGATGGAAAAGACGATGAAAACAGGTTTGTCTAAATTATTATTTAAATTCATTTCTTTGTTTTTTTTATTTTCGATACATTTTTTATCTTTTTAACATCTAATGGTAAAATGAAGTAGTATTTTTTTATTATAATTATTAAAAATTCAGCACAAAATTTAAATTTATATTAAAACCATAATTTATTAATTCATTAAAATTTGACATTATTTTACTTTAATTTTATGAGAAATTGCTCATGAGTGCATATTATTCCACTTTTTATCCATCCAAAGCTAACCTTTTAGGTAAAATTTTGAACTCTTTTGCATTCATTTTATTCTGAAATTCAAATATTTTTATATCTTCAAATAATTTTGATCGTGATTTCATCAGATTTCAAAATAAAATATCCACTACTAATACTAAATTATATTATTTTATTAGAAATTTAGATTTAAATTATTTGCATATTTTTAACTCCCTTTTTGCAATTTGTCTGGCAGGAAGAACAGTATTGAGGCGCTGCGATTGCGAGCCAAAGAGCACCAGGCGTTGCTGGAGCAGCGCTTTCTGGCAGCGGCGGCCAAGTCGGCGGCCGCGCAGGTGCAGGCCAAGTCATAAATCAGCGGTCGAATCCAATAAGCTTCATCCGCGCTCTCTGATCAGCCGCTGCTCTAGTTGATTTCCTTCCCACGCGTGTTTATCTAATTTATTACACCGACAAGTGTTTCGTTTCTCGCTCTCCTCCCGACTGCTGGGCTGGCTGATAACGCACGCCGATTAATTTTGTATTTATTATCATATGAAAAAAATCTATATCAGCAGCAAACGAGAACCCGCGCCCTTTTCTAGACTGATTTCTTTGTTCATTTTTAATACAAGCCTACGTATGTAAATAAAGAAAGTAAATTGACAATAAAGAATTACACTCGGAGCAGCCCGACGAATACATGGGCTTTTTCTTACATTTAAGAGCCTCGATTAAATATATAGAGTTAATTAAATATCATTAGTAAAATGAGCAAACTAGATTTGTTGACAAAGAACTTCAGCCCTTTTGTGCCCAGTTTTCTGTTTCCCCGTCATTAAATTATAGTGAATGTGATTCCACGAAAAAAAAATCAATAACAGATGTGAATGTCAACCGCGAATTCTATAGAAAAAAGTAAATATTGTACATTGTACGAGCCGTAGCGATAGATGTCAACATTATAATTATGTGTACTTAATTATAAACAAATAAAAAAATATCATTAAAAATAAAAAATTTTTAATTTTCCATGTACCCTGTTTTTAAAAATTGTTTTAGTTCTACTTCCATTTCTTATTTAAAAATAGTTTTTACCATACTTCTCAAATCAATTTTGGGGTTATCAGTGACCTCAAAAGTATCCATAAGTCCAAAATATTGTTGAAAATCCTTGCCTATTGAAGTTAATTCTTCAGCTTAATTGATGTTTGGGGCAGTTTGATGTTGAAAAGCGGCACCTTTTTTATTTTGGAGTGTGGACTGGAGATGTTTCACAGGCCACTTTTGACCTTTGGAATCGATTCAGAGAGCCGAGCTAAAATTGACACTATTGACCTTCCGTACTGAAACTTCATAATGCATTAAAGTAATTGATTGGAAGACTGCCATGATGAAAATGAACAGCCTCAAAGCCTGTAAGTATCGGAAAGCAGATCAAGGCTGACGACAATGGGGTGCACCGACGGAAAAATGGCAACTCGCAATAATCAACAGAGAGTTCAAATGAGACGGCAGTTGATGGAGAGGGAAAATGCAAAAAGGAGATCGCGAGAGAGTCGCTCGCTCTGAAAGCGTTTGTGCAAATAGAGGGTCTCTGCGACGGGCGGCGATTTTTTTACATGGCATGCAGCAAGGAAAAGAGGGCCATTCTTTGAAGAGATTGCGCTCATTAGGTTTGATCGGCTTTTCATTGAACAATTGGTCGCCGGTTTCTAGACGGCATATTTTTCGCTGGCAAATCTCCTGTCGAGTGCTGCGGCGGAAAATGACACTGGTGGGGGCAATAATGGAGCCCCTAATACCATCATCGTCATCGCATTGACTCGCGCAACCAGACCGACCGACCGACTCCTCTTGGCCACCCTTTTGTTGCCGTGCTAAATTCAATGCATAATTTGAGCTCTAAACGGCAGATAAAGGGTGCGTAAGTCTCAATTCACCAACGACTACTGGGAATTTTCTGCCAAATATACATAAATCAAAATAGGTTTGCTCTGAATTGAATTTGAAAGGTTTAAACATATTTATGAAATTTTGACAATTACACATTATTGCACCCTTCCGGCGAAACAGTTGGCGTTCGTGATTACCCATCATAACTTGTCAAAATTTTGAATCACAAAAGAGTGAATACTGACGCGGGGAGGTCAATCAAAGCTCATGCAATTATTTCGAGAGCCAGATGTTTCCTTTCGGCTTCCATTGTGCATGAAGCGGCGATTAACATCAAACAATGACCAAATATTACAAAGCTAAACAGCAAATTGATTTAGAAAACAATATAAGTTGATATTAACTAAAAGTTGAAAAACCTTCTGATCAGGGTTAAAGTGAGATTTCGCAACCTGTTTTAAGCACTTAAGTCAACTTCCAACTTATTATAAAAAGCTAAAAAATACATGGTTTTGAAAAAATTAGTAATTCTCACGCTGGAGTATTTATTTGTTGCTTCTAGAGTAAAGTACAAGTTTTATTATTCTATTTATAGATCCATACTCGCAAGCATATACTGGTTGTATTTAATGGCATGTACTGGAAGTATTATATCAACTCAAAAATTAAATAATCTATTGACCAAAATTGAGCTCTTGTAGGTCTAACGTGCTGAATGAAATTGATCTTATTTTAGATTGATTGTATTTACTATTTGCAAAAATCACAAAATATTAATTACAAGATGAAAAATTATATACTTGATAAAATTGGGCATCTTTTGATTTATGACGTTGCTAAACCAAAGTAAGATTCATTGAGAGTTCAAAACAGAGGGAGGACTATTGGCAAGGGACGGAATAGCTGACGGCTGAGCAGTGATAAAATCTGTGGATAATTTGGGGGTGCACTTTTCGGAGGGGTGGAATGAACATTCGAGTGACGTGCGCGGATAATTGACTTCAAACGGCGGCGGCGATTTTGAGCGACTGGTATGTATGCAGTTGAGGTTGAAAATAAACAAGCGCATGAATTTGTAAAAAAGGTCTTGTCACACTTGAGAGATATTCTTGGAACAACAATTTCGTCTTCTCGGAAGGAAATAGGTAATCCGAAATTAGGCCCCTTGAAGCAAAATTTGTGGAGTTTCCAACTTTTTTTTGGCACAATTCCATTAAAACAGGTTGGCGTGGGCAAAGAAAATTATAATGCAGCAGCTGAGAGAGGAAAAGTTGCGTGAAATTAACACAAAAGCCTTTATTAATTTTTTATTATTATCCCCTTTGTTCTTTTCTGGCGCGCGCTGCGGCAGAGGAAGAGAGTGGAATAATTTTTCTTGCTCGGGCGTTTTCTTTTTCTTTCGCTCCCTTTTGCTTAATCGCCATAATTAAATGAGATAAAGCAAGCGTTAAAAGCTCGTCGTCCTCTCTGTGTTTTTGCAGCTTTCAAAGCCGCACGCCGCGAAATTAAATTCGCTTTGAAACCACTTTCTCCACTTTTTCCAACGCGATTAATGTCTCCTAGTTTGCAACTTTTCCAACACCACCACAAAGAATTGCAATTTCTCGTTTTATTCGTGAGAGTGTGTAATTTCAATTTTTTATTATTACCAAAAGAGGTTTGTGGGACTCTAATAGCGAGATTCCGTGCCACGAGTAAGTGTTGCTATACCGTCAATTGCCATCAATTTTACATTTCCATCAAATTACGAATGGGCGTGTTGCATTTCCCGCGCCCTTTGCTTAATAAATTGCCCCGGCGATAATCAAATAAAAAATTCATTCGTTTCATATAAATAGACAAGGGACTTACATACGACTGCACCTCAATTTTTTTTTCTTCCTAATCTTTTATTCCATTAAATTTTTATAAAGGGTTTTTGATACATCAAAAAGCCAATCTGACAGGAATTCCTGAGAATTTTCACCTGCACTTGTTCCTAATTCAAAAGAAGGGAAAACACTTTGGTCCGCAGTGGAGCGTTTTGGAGAGAAAAGGAGCTGTTATCGCGAAGTGGAATCGGGAAGAGACAGCGGATTACAGAAATTATAAAATTTAATTTCTGACGCCGAGCCGGCAGAAAACAATCAGATAAGCCGCTCGAGTCAATGATTTTATTTATACACATTTGGGACGGAGAGCCGCGTGCGTTGTGTTTTGTGTTCACGCTTGTCAGCGATTTTCTTTTAGGCTCTTTTATCTGCCACTCTGTCTCTCCTCGGCGTATTAGCGACGAGCGGGAAAATTGAGACGCGCACGTCTCATCTTGGAAGTTAAAAAGTTTGACACGTATTTTTAATGTAATCCACTTGTGATGGTATCGCTGTGAAGTCGTTCGTTCGGCCAGGGAATTATGTACCGACGTGTTAGTGCGATTATAAAATAAAGGCACACAACACACACCGACGCGCACAGGGAATTAATGCGCCGGATTACACACCTTAATGTGCTGTAATGGGACGTTTCTCGGTGGAAGTAACTCGAGACGCCCCAGAAAATATTCAAATAAGATTAAACATTGACGCCAACATGCTTTTGCAGAACTAAGATTTATTCATTCTTTGAATTAGGTTTTTATGAAATGAAGTTCATAATAATAAATTAAAGTGCATATTCTTGGCAACCCATATAGCTTAAAACGTCTGATTTGATTTTTTTTTTAATATGAGCAAAGGAAATTAAAGTTTGAAAAATTCACGAAAGATCACATTACATCCTTGAAGTGTCATGGAACCTTTTGTACAAATATTAAAATGTATTGGAAAATATTTACTTTACTTCCATTCATTTACGAGAGCAATTACTTTCAAACTTTAACCATTGAGTTTGAATAATAGCAATAAATTTGAACTGAATTTAACAAAGTTAACTATTTGGTCAACAAATATTATAAATTTATATATTTTTTTGAAATAGTTTTGTTAAAATAAAATAAGTTTTTAAATTTGAAATTTAAAATGATAATATTTTAATTGTATTGTATTATCTATTAATAATTACGTCACGTCTGATTTCATATATAAAATTTAATAATTCAACCAAAAGAAAAACCAAGTTAAGGCATAAAATGTGTCGAAGATAAATGTAATATATTTCTAAAAAATTTCAATTTTGTAGGTTTTTGTGCTGTTCAGCTGACGCTGACTGCCTTGGAATTATGATGCTATAGCTCATATTTTTTTAAGTAAACTTACTGCATTAATTAACAACGTTAAGCACTCGTGTTGAGGCAGATTGAATCTCAGCGTGTGTGCTGACCATTGATTTGAAGAATCAGAGGCGATCAAAGTCAGCAACTCGCATCCACACACACAGCTGGAGGAAAGAAAGAGAAGGGTTTCGCCGAGAGCGCGCGCGGAGGAGAGAGAGTCAATATTGGCTGCCGTCGGTTGCAGCCCTTTATCCGCCGCTTGTGTATGGCAAATAAATGATATCATTGTGCCCTGCCACCGCCTACGACGACGTCGAGGAGCAGCCCTTGGCTAAAGACGATCTCACGAAACTTAAACAAAGCAGCGCAGAGAGCAATAATAATAAAATTGGTCGCCGCATTCGTGCGGAGACACAAAGCTGCTTCCCTCTCTCTCTCTCTCTGGCAAATAAACCGCTAAACACAATCTTTATTTCGCCGATATATTTGCAAACAACTTCTCTCGCATATCGAGTTATACGCGCAGAGACACTCTGCCAAGTTGGTCCCTGCGCGAGCTGCCCAGGGCGATTCGAGTTATTTGATTTATCAACCAGCGAGCGCAGAAATTAACTGCCGACTTTCGCTCTGTTTGATTTACCAACGGAGCAGATCCTTAAGTTATAAGCTGCTCTCTAATATGAGCTTCTGATTTTGATATTGAATTTCTGATGCTTATGAGAGACGGGGCGAGTAGGCGCAATTATCTCTCATCTACAATTAAATATAGGTTGCCTGGTCAACCAGTCTATCCTTTTGGGTGATGTTGGTCAAGTATTTATCATTTGCTTCCAATTAAGATTTTTTAATGAAAAATAGTAGAAAAATTAAAACATAACATTTGAGAAGAATGTGTTTGTTAATATAAAAAAATAATTATTGCACTATTATTAACATTGAATAATAAAATTTATTGTGCTCATCATTTGTAATATTATTTCATAATCACAGCTTTTGCTTGGAAATCTAACCAAATCAGCATTTTTAGCTTAATATCTTGTTAAACTTATTATTTCAATTTTTACCCCTTATCAAGATTAAAATTTCACAACCTTAATTAGCAATTGATCTGATAAGGAAACCAAAATTTTTTGATTTAATTCTGATTTATACGTATATTACTTCCTAATAAAAATCTTTTATGAAATGAATGAAGTTTTACGCGTTTCTGAGCACATTATTAAAAATCATTCATTATTTATTTTTTCATTTCCACACTTATGCTCATTTGAGAGCCAGGTGCAGCAGAGATTAAACAAAAATATTCCAATATGCTCTCAAAAGTTGTTTGCGCGTAAAATAATGCATGTTTGTCCACAAAACCCCTTTTTTCAAACCCACACGTTTAATATTATATTATGTTGATTCGGCGCAAGCCATTCGTGCTCATTTTCTAGCAATTAATCTCTCTGCTCGATGTTCCCACGACGAGCAGCCCATTCGGAACCATCATCGCGGTCCACTGGTTTAATTTGCCTGGTTGCGGACGGAGAAAGGACAGATTTTTCACCAAATTTAAGTTCATTATGCGTCACAACCAGTGGGGCGTCCCGCCAGCAGCCGCCCCTATACACACGAGCGCGACGAGAGGGTGAGAAAAAAACCGTCTCCTTACGCTACGTGTTTGTTGTAATTAATGCGCTCAGATTGTTTGCAGCAGACGCTCATTAGCATGTGACTTTCGTTAAGAGACGCAATTATATTTATTTTCTTCCGTCTTTATGTTGAATCACTGGTGGATTAGTTTTGTTATTAAACCAGTTTGTGCTGCTAATCGGAGATGGAGACCAAGATCCAAGCGAACCGACCCTCTGCTTTTCCACCACAGTGGACTTTGATCTAAGTTAACTCTGTTTGAGACTTAATCAAATGATTAAGTCTCAAACTCATTAAACCATTTGAAAAACAATCTTTCATAGGTTCAAGAATATAGAGAGACAGAATTTCACCAATAATCGACGAGTTTGATGAAAAATATAACAGATAAATACATGGTGATTTGAATTTAAATTAGGCTTTTCCTCGATGGGTTTTTGTGAGTTTTTATTGTTTCTTGGCGGTGGTCAAGAGAAGACTCGTGAATTATGGCTGCAGCCCGCAGCCAAAACATGTGGAGCAGGATGTTGTTTTTCTTAAACAATAAAAACTCACAAAAACCCATCGAGGAAAAGCCGAATTTAAATTCAAATCACCATGAATCAACCCTCGATTGTGTACTTCTTCTACAAAACAAATAAATTGTTTATTTTTTTTATAATTATGTTTATTTTTTCAAGAATGATTTAATCATATGGTTTGATTTTTTTAATATTCCCGTTTTAACGGATTTTAAAGAATTTTTTAGTTTAATAAAGCTATTTTGTTGAAACCTTACATCAACAACCAATAAAATTTTTCTGTTCAAATTCTCATTAAAAACCAGTTGTATTTAAATAAGTTATTGTTGATGCGTAATTAAATAAAAATAATGAATTAGAATTGAGCAATATTTTCATGTTAGTATTTTTCATTCTACGCATAAAGCGTTTCACAAAAAAAATTAATGGAAGAATTAATAAATAAATTATTAAAATTTGAATAAAAATAAAATTTTATGTCATAATTAATTCTATTATTAGTTTATTTTTGTTTTAAAAAAATAATCAATTGTAAAAAATATTTGTCAACTTAAACACTTTCAGTGAAGCCAAATTTCTGTGAAATCTCCAATTTTCCGAAACGAGGTAATTTGATGTGGGCTAGCAATTTAGGAAACAAAATCTCAATTTCGGGGTAAAAATGTGTCGCGCTGGTGGTGCGTGTCTCTTATCAGCCCACCAATTAGCTGCTTATGTTTGAGCACAAGTTTTGGGTGTGTTTAGTTTAGTGCATATGCACTCGGGGGTGAAACGCGGCCAGCAGCACGCACGGCACCGGCAATTTGATGTTTCCAGCAGCAGGTGACCACGCTTGGCACGGTTTTCCTCGCAACGGCGTTTTCATGCGAAAGAGCCGCTGCTGCTGCTGGACGTGCGGAGATCAAAACATTAAGCGAAATTACTACAACCAGTTATGACACGTGCATGCACCAAGGGGTGTATAATTTCCACGACGACGGCGCGCGGGGCTGTTGCGTGCTGGCGGAAATCAAACACTCGGAATCAAATTATCATTTCAGTGTCGCATTTGAAGGCAATCAGCTGAAAGTGAAACAACTCTTAATTTTGTTTGCTTCCACTAAAAATGTTTTTGTTGTTTATGGATTAATTTTAAAACTAATTATTGTATTATTTTCATTTAAAAAAATTGTAAGCATGAGAATTGAAAATACTGCAGAATATATTTTTTTTTTGCAAAGTATTTATAACTTGAAAGAGGAGATTAATTAATGGACAAATTCTTCATTACAATGAATTGTCAAATCTGCATAGTTAATAGTTAATCTAAAATAATCAATGAACCTAAGCCAATGACCTTAAAAACTAATTAGAAATTAATATTACACAAAAAATGTACAAATTGAAGATACAGACGATGAAAATCAATCATTGAGTTACTTGATATATATTTTCATATTAAGTATTTTAAAATGAATCTTAAAGGGCCCCTAAAGTTTGATTTTCTATGCCTTGTCGGCAGGCAGAAGCGGAGATTACAGAATAAGAAATGAGCCCGTCGCGCGTTTAATAAAATTAAAATCGCGATTTAACAACAACAACCCTACCTTGGGGGCGATAGTCCCCGGTCCATATGAGGTCATCTTCAGGTCTGCGAGTTTCCTGCTGCTGAGGCATCGAGAGCCGACTTTTGTCTTTTGTCATCGTTTTGCACTTTGCACTCTGCACACAACTCTGCCTGCTGGCGGTATTTGCTGCTGGAAGCTGGAAGACAAGAGCGAACAAGTCAGGATGGGAGAATGAGAGACGCACGTCGTGTCGCGAGAGACAGGCAGCAAAATAAAAATGAGATGGCGCCGATTAAATTATCATCATAAATCATAACGCGTGTAAAAACTGGTAAGACAATAATATATTCACATTTGCAGCACTGATAGTTGACGAAATGGCGGAACGTTTTAATTTTTAATAGTTTTAAATTTTAAAATAAATCATATTATTTATGTATTTTGGAGCTTACAAAGTTATTCAGCATAGTGCGGAATTTTTCTAATATTTCTTTCATAGCAAGAAATTTTTTTGAAAATCTACGTATAGAAAAATGTACCCAATTAAATTATGTATTTAGATAGTTAGCCAATGTCGTCAGAATTATCTTTATTCATATTTATACCTTTACAGGGCTCAAACTCAAAATTTGAATTGTTATGGATAAAATAATTTTTTTGCAAATTTTTTAATATGGATTTTTGGTTGGAAACTTAATTTTGAGACCGAGATGTAAATTTGTAGTAAAAAACAAAGGTTTAGAAATGAGATTAAATGAGACAAATGTTTTCTGAGAAGTTGGCCGCAACATTCCTTTGGAGCTGCCATTGATGTCATTTTTATTTTTCTGCATGCCTCTCGCGACACGTCTTGCGTCTCTCATCCCGTCCTGACTTGTTCAATCTGGTCTTTTAGCACAAAAAGCAGCAGCGGCCACTGCCATCAGGAGGGGTAGTTTGTGTGCAACAAAAGTCGCCTCTCGATGCCTCAGCAGCAAGTAACTCGCCGAATTTGAGCCGACTGAGAACTTCGCCGACCTGCAGATGACCTCAAATGGACCAGGGACTTCTCCATGCCCCCAAGGTAGGATAAAACAGCAAAATATATAATTTTATTAATCGCTCATTATATTTGCCATGTTCGCGTCGGCCCGCTGGCGGCACGTGTAGCCCATCGGCCCTCTTCTTAAGGAAGACCCTCGACCCTCCTCAGCCCCTCTTGTGCTTCTGATTCAAATTAAAATTAGGCGTTTAGGCGGGCCGACATGGCGAAAGCGCAGAGAAAGTCCAACGCTGATGACCCGATATTTCAATTATTGCCGATTGAGCTGAAACGATCGCCGAATATTCGACATCCAGCAAAATATGCAATGTTTGGACTGATTAAAACCAAAATATTAGACATCAGGGGCCCTTAATAAATCTACCAAATGAAAAAATAATAATAAGGCAATAAATTAAAAAAAAGGTAATATTTTATCAAGCACATAAATCGCAGAAAATTCTTAACAAGCAAAATTTTCATCTGAACTTCCTGACCCCAAACTACTACAACCCAAAATCATTTCAAAATTTTTTCGCTTTCCTTTTCAGTTTTCAGCTTTTCTCGGTTTCATCGCTTGGACCATTGATTAAGAATCCAGTAAAAATGATGATTGCTAATTAAAGTTGAACTAAATTAAAATCAAATCGGGCGGTGCCTTGTACATCAAGTAATAAAGAGCATAGGCCGACAATACTTTGACAATAATTTGTAAAAATATTTAAATTAAATTTAAATTAATTTTGCAAATTAAATTTTTGATATCTGTCCAATTATTAATATTGCTGTGCAATTACCTTTTTAATAATTATTGGCAAATTTAGAAAACAAATTTCAACGGAGCACTCAGAATTAGTTTCACAGAGAAGAGTTGCTGTAAATTTTGCAACACCTTATTATGTTACCATCCGCACAGATTTGTAATTAAGTGAAAACGTTGAGAAGGTGTGCGCCTTGTGTTTCTTTTTGACAAAGTGCTCGTTTCGCGGAAACTCGTTAGCGATTGTTCACTTGACGGCTGAGCCGGCAAATCAAAGGTTATTAATGTAATATCGCTGTGAGGCGCGCGCGTGCAATATGAATTCATTTATTCTGCTCGACGAGCGCCCCTTTGTCACCTGCTATTGCGCCGCGACGCCGGCGAATTTCGCATCACAAAGCGCAGCAATTTCATTAAACGGCTGCTTGTATTGAGCCCAATTTGCCGTCTCTCTCTCTCTCTCCCTCCTCCCACCCACCTAGCTGCGATGATGCTCTTTTACAATATCAAATTGATGAAGATGACATTGTGCGCCGCGTATGCTCGCGCGCGCTCAACACAAAACACAATCACTCTTGAAATGAGCGAATGCTCTGTCGCCGCCGGAGACTGCACGCATTCTTGCTCACTCTGTCGCGCTCGAGGGCTTTTTCATATATTATATATAAAATGTGTCCTATCAGATTGATCAAAAGTGAGCTGGAACGCACTTGTAAAACACGCAGCTTGCATTTGATACATCGGATGAAAATCACCCCCTCATCAAGCAATTCAATTCGCGCGCATACCTTACCTGTATTCAAAATCTCTCCGAGATCGAGTTGTGTGGTCTCATTGTTAATTTTCCACTATGGAATACAAGCGAAGAAATAAAACACAATTAAATAAATTTAAATTTTTACAGAAATGTTCGTTATGTTACTAAAAAAGTTAAAAACGTGAGTTAAAATTAGACGATAATTTCTTTTGTAATAAATTGTATATTATTTTTTTTTTTATGATTTAATATTTTTATTTTGAGCAATAACCTGATTAAAAATTTGTTAATTTCCATGATATAATTTTATACATATACCTTGGAATTACAATGAAAATTTATGTTGTTTTCCATAACAAATTAATGCTGCTGATTCTTTTACTATAATTGATTAATTGATGAAACAACTATGACCAATATATTTTTAATCTAATAATTTAATCACTATAATAAATAACATTATGACTGTAATTTATTGTCAGTCAGAACAATTTAAAAGCAGTAAAAACGGTTTAAAGCATTTAAAGTGGAATTTAACAACGTTTCTCAAATTCCAGAAAATTTAACTATGTTCATGAATTTGGAAAAAGGAAATATTTTGTTTCATTTTCCTGCTGACGCTGACAAGGGCCTATAATGCCATTATTTATATGTATGAATTCCCAAAAAAATATCTCTAAATAACAAATTTGACTGATTTAAAAAAATTTAATTACATGCTTGAGATCTCTGACGGAAGATGATGATTTTTATACTTTCGCCGAACAGACTTAAATCAAAAAAGTGCCGTTGGTGTGGAGAGTGGCAGGTTCAACTTTGCCAGTGTTTATTTCTTGCGCTCAAAATAGTCAGGTATATCCCGTGCGTTTCATTTTTGACAGATAATATTCTGATATTTAATGTTTCGTACAACGAATTGCCTAATAATTATGCAAATAGAAAAAAAATGAAACATCCTAAATCACCCATTTAAAAGCATAAACCCTTCTCTTCATAACAGCTCATTTACAATACGATTATATAATTTAGCCTGCGAGAAATCACTAACACTTAAATTTTTCTCCCATATTGCACTTTCTTTAACAAAGTTATTTATGTGATGAGCAATTATAATTTTTGAATTTGCAAAATTGTGAATTTTTGGAACATTCATTTCTCACACTATCATTGTCTGCCTCATTTTCGGAGTTCTGTCAAAAATTGATCCAAATTTCCTGAAATAAAATTGTATGTGGGAGAGAATCAGAAGGAATTTATAGCAAAGCGACAATCCTTGGATAATCCTGATCTGCGTGGTAATTGAGCCTATAAATGGATCCATTTCCGCAAGTCCGTCCGTCTGCAGCATCTGTCCGGCGGCTCAACTCAAACGAATCTTTTCCCTGCGACGGACGCTTTTCGGTCAGAGAATGAATGAATGAGATTCCGTTGTGCATTCGGATCAAAGTCCTTCTTATGGCGGCGGATCGCGTTTCAACGCCTTTTCTGTCCGAATACAAAGCGAAAAATTTCTATTCTCGGCGGCGTGGGTATAATTAGAGGCCAATTTGGCGCGGATAGTGGCGGGCATTTTCATTAGCGTGGCCATTTACACGTGAATGTTTTAACTGTTATCGGTCGCGCGTGATTATTTTCCTTTTAATGCATGCATGTCGTGGCCGCCGAATAACAATTCCTGCTGCTCGGCTGATTACCGCTCTGCGTTAAGTAAACTACATCGCCGCGATTTAATATTAAAAATGTGTGTAATTACACGTGTGCGCCGACGGTGGCCTCAATCATGCAACAAAATAATTAAAATCATTGGAAAAAATTAGAGGCAATTTATTTTTAATTTCCCCTTGATTGCAGCCCGATCGATACTTGCATGAGGCCTTTGCTGTTAAAAATGGTTTTTCCGACTCGCTCTTTCATGTTTGTTTGTTTTTTATTGGAATAAAAAACTTTTCTTTTATTCTTTCATCTATTCAATTGAATTTGAATAATCCATTGAATTCAAATGAAAAGAGATCGGAAATTTAATTTCGGCGCTAATGGGAAAAATTTATATTCCCCATTCGTGGCATATAAATTGAAATTCAGCCTGGCACTTTTTTTGTGCGCGGTCCATTGTTGTCATCGATCCTGCCAGGGGGTCACATCATGCCCACGGCGTTCTCATGCTCGCGGCCGCATCCAGGTGTTGTAGATGCATATAGTGTGTGTGTATATTTTGAGGCAAACACACACTTTTGCATTGTGTGTGTTTGCGTGTTGTGTTGCACATCATTTCACTTCACGCCGACAAATGGGATCAGAGGTGCCCATTCACGCGCGCATCGCTGCTTTTTGTGCAATTTGTAGGCACATTATTGCAGCAAACGGATCCCGCGCCAGATTTCTTCCTGCATTGTTTGCAAACAATATTGTGGTTGATGAATTTCATAATGCAAGCATCTGACGCGATTGTAAAATACGGCGAACACGCCTTTCATTTCTTTTAACGTCTTGGTTAATGAATTATGATTTTTTTGACGTTGTGTGCATCCAACT